AAGATCATGTACCTGTAGAAGCCATGAAAAAGCGACTTATCTGAAATGCAGAAAGTCACCTTGCCCATATCTGACTTAGCTCCTGCACCACTAGAAGGTACCTCAAGATCTGTCCTATGCTTCCTTCACAAAACCCTATAAACCAGTTTTTATGTTTTTTTCATCTATGTTCAATATCTTTTAATAAATGTAAAAGAAAAAAAACATGGCAACTGCAGTTTATTTTATATTAATGATGGTTATCAAAAAACAATACAATAATAATTACTCACATAAAAATATTCAATTGGAGTATCGGTATCGGTATCTATATCGACTATACTTGTCTTAAAAGTACTTGGTATCGGATCGGAAAGAAAATAATTGGTATCGCCCATCCCTAGTGCAGACACGTGACTGACAAAGACCGATATGAAATGTCTTTATATTATTCCAGAATCTTAACCGTGTTTCTTGACAAAATGGAGACTCCAGCTTTAAAATACTTCCTACTTACAGCAGGAAATAATCACCTTCATACCAAACGCGGAAGCGGTCTAAGCAGAAATGGACACGGGCTCAGTGGCCCGGCGTATTATTTTTGGGGATATTAACCATGGTATGAAGGTAAAACAGTAGCAAAACTCGAGAGCTTGCTAATTTGAATGTGAGAACTTGTAAAATTAATATTTGTATTTGTAAGTTGAAATTTATACTCACAGCTCTGATGTGAAAAGCTGCATCTATCGATTTGCACACACAGACAATACTCAGAACACCTGTGTTTTGAATTCGAAGTTGCAGATTAATTAATAGTTACAAATGTGTAAAGTGTCATTCACATAAACAAAATAACAGGCACAATTGTGTACTACACATTTATCTTTGCGCTTTACTTCAGTTTCGCTGTACAACCACAAGTCGGCACTGACAACCTCTCAGATCTGGCAGTACAAATGTATCAGCTATTTTTTTAAAACGATTGGAAAATATTTTTATGAAATATCATTAGTTTTACTGGTTTTTTATATCAGTAAAAGCGCAGCAATGTCGTCACTACACAGAGCAGCTCGCGCCGTTTCGGTGGTGGTGGTGGTCGTCGTCATTGTCGATCGATCGCGATGGCTGAATCGAACAATCCGAGGGTAAGTTTTTATTTTTTTATATTTTTCTATACATTCAGTATTGTTAGTCAGAGACTGTTATATATAACTGCAAAGTTAAAATATATAAGTGCCTTCTCATGTATTTTTAGTTAATTAAATTGTTAAATAAATGTACATAGTACAATAATTGCCTAAATGTTTATTATGTTTATGAAAATGACAGTTTTTACAATGCATTAAACATGTTTTTCAAGATAACATGAATTTTGTTATTGCTTCGTGAAGGCTTTTGTAAATGTGAAGAGTAACTATTATGAAATAGTATACCTGAAACAGATTGTTCCTGAGGTAATGTACTCTATGCCTTAAGAGAGACTCCAGCTGGAATGCACTTAATCTAATGA